ATGTTTCACGGCTACAACTGTTGTGTAGACATGTATCACGACTACACTGTTTTATAGACATGTACCACGACTATACCTGTTATATAGACATGTACTACGACTACACATGTTACACAGACATGTACCACGATTAAAAATGTTATATAGACATGTATCACGACTACAAATGTTAAACAGACATGTATCACGACTACAACTGTTATAAAGACATATACCACGACTACAAATGTTATATAGACATATACCACGACTAGAACTGTTATATAGACATGTATCACGACTACAACTGTTATATAGACATGTACCACGACTACACCTGTTATATAGACATGTACCACGACTACAACTGTTATATAGACATGTATCACGACTACACATGTTATATAGACATGTACCACGACTACACATGTTAAATAGACATGTACCACGACTAGAACTGTTATATAGACATGTACCACGACTATACCTGTTATATAGACATGTACCACGACTACAACTGTTATATAGACATGTATCACGACTACAAATGTTATACAGACATGTATCAAGATTACAACTGTTGTGTAGATATGTATCACGACTACAATGTTATATAGACATGTATCACGACTACACTTGTTATATAGACATGTATCACGACTACACTTGTTATATAGACATGTATCACGACTACACTGTTTTATAGACATGTACCACGACTATACCTGTTATATAGACATGTATCACGACTACAAATGTTATACAGACATGTATCAAGATTACAACTGTTATATAGACATGTTTCACGACTACAAATGTTATACAGACATGTATCAAGATTACAACTGTTGTGTAGACATGTATCACGACTACAACTGTTATATAGACATATACCACGACTACAAATGTTATGTAGACATGTACCACGAATAGAACTGTTATATAGACATGTATCACGACTACAACTGTTATATAGACTGCATCACTACTACAACAATTATATAGACATGTACCACGACTACACCTGTTATATGGACATGTACCACGACTACAACTGTTATATAGACATGCACCACGACTACAACTGTTGTATAGACATGTATCACGACTACAGCTGTTATACAGACCGGTACCACGACTACAACTGTTATATAGACATGTATCACGACTACAACTGTTATATAGACATGCATCACTACTACAACTGTTATATAGATATGCATCACTACTACAACAAGTATATAGACATGTACCACGACTACACCTGTTATATAGACATGTACCACGACTACAACTGTTATATAGACATGTACCACGACTACACTTATGAGATAAACCGGTACCAGTACCACGAATAGAACTGTTATATAGACATGTATCACGACTACAAATGTTATATAAACATGGTCCACGACTACAACTGGTATATAGACATGTATCACGACTACAACTGTTACATATACATGTATCACGACTACAACTGTTATATAGACATGTAACACGACTACAACTGTTATATAGACATGTATCACGACCACAACTGTTATATAGACATGGTCCACGACTACAAATGTTGTATAGACATGTACCACGACTACAACTGTTATATAGAAATGGTCCACGACTACAACTGTTATATCGGCATGTATCACGACTACAACTGTTATATAGACATTCATCACTACTACAACTGTTATATAGATATGCATCACTACTACAACAAGTATATAGACATGTACCACGACTACACCTGTTATATAGACATGTTCCACGACTACACTTGTTATATAGACATGTACCACGACTACAACTATTATACAGACCGGTACCACGACTACAACTGTTATATAGACATGTACCACGACGACACATGTTATATAGACATGTACCTCGACTACAACTGTTATATAGACATGTACCACGACTACACTTATTAGATAAACCGGTACCACGTCTACAAATGTTATATAGACATGTATTACGACTACAACTGTTATATAGACATGTACCACGACTACACTTATTAGATAAACAGGTACCACGTCTACAAATGTTATATAGACATGTATTACGACTACAACTGTTATATAGACATGTACCACGACGACACATGTTATATAGACATGTACCTCGACTACAACTGTTATATAGACATGTACCACGACTACACTTATGAGATAAACCGGTACCACGTCTACAAATGTTATATAGACATGTACCACGACTACAACTATTATACAGACCGGTACCACGACTACAACTGTTATACCGGCATGTATCACGACTGCAACTGTTATATAGACATGGTCCACGACAACAGCTGTTATATAGACATGTAACACGACTACAACTGTTATATAGAAATGGTCCACGACTACAACTGTTATATCGGCATGTATCACGACTACAACTGTTATATAGACATGTACCACGACGACACATGTTATATAGACATGTACCTCGACTACAACTGTTATATAGACATGTACCACTACTACACATGTTATATAGACATGCAGCCCTCCTACAACTGTTATATAGACATGTATCACGACCACAACTGTTATATAGACATGGTCCACGACTACAAATGTTGTATAGACATGTACCACGACTACAACTGTTATATAGACATGTACCACGACTACACTTATTAGATAAACAGGTACCACGTCTACAAATGTTATATAGACATGTATTACGACTACAACTGTTATATAGACATGTACCACTACTACACATGTTATATAGACATGCATCACTCCTACAACTGTTATATAGACATGTATCACGACTACAGCTGTTATATAGACATGCATCACTACTACAACTGTTATATAGATATGCAGCACTACTACAACAAGTATATAGACATGTACCACGACTACACCTGTTATATAGACATGTTACAGGACTACACCTGTTATATAGACATGTACCACGACTACAACTGTTATATAGAAATGGTCCACGACTACAACTGTTATACCGGCATGTACCACGACTACAACTGTTATATAGACATGGTCCACGACTACAACTGTTATATAGACATGTATCACGACTACAACTGTTATATAGACATGTACCACGACTACACCTGTTATATAGCCATGTACCACGACTACACATGGTATATATACATGTTCCACGACTACAACTGTTATATAGATATGGTCTACGACTACAGTTGTTATATAGACATGTACCACGACTACACTTATTAGATAAACCGGTACCACGTCTACAACTGTTATATAGACATGGTCCACGACTACAACTGTTATATAGACATGGTCCACGACTACAACTGTTATATAGACATGGTCCACGAC